GTACATTTCAAACACAAACTCCTGTTATCGGAGAGACAGACAGGTCTGACACATATTTATAATGTGATATTTGGCTCGTAAATGCACACAAAACTACGCTATTTATTAAAAATAAACTATTTCTCAGATAAAACAAATACTCAATTAATTGTCGCGCAACTAAAAACTCTAATCAAATGGTTTACGCAAAAAATAAAACTGAAAACTGAGTCGACTATACAAACGAAACAAAATAAAAGTCATAAAAATATGATTGAATAATAAGAGTAATAAAACAAAACAAAAAAATCAAAACAAAATACAAAACTATTTTAAGGCTAAAGTATTACATAGAAAACTCTACAAAAAATATTAATATCTTATATAAAACATTAAGAATAATATTCATTGAAAAAATATCACTATTTAATAGAAACAAAAACTGAAATGAAAAATCACCAAAAGATAAAAAATCTAATTAGAAATGTTTAATAATAGAAAAATATGAATAGAAAACACAAATTTTAATCCCAAAAAACTTTCTAATCTATGCTATAAATAAATGAATACAAAATAAGAGTATTTAATATATTAATCTCAATAGAGATACGAAAAAACCTCATTATTTATGCACTTATTTAAGACGATCTGAAAAAACACGTTATAATAAAACAAATACATAACACACACAACAAGATTTGCAAACTATTCCGGGTATTACAGCAGTACTTATATTTATAAAGTGCTTAACTAACAAATTGTATTAAAAAGTTATTTCAAACATTAAAATCGGGAGAAAAAGTATTTGTATTTCAAACGCGTTTGCATTAAAACCGATATTAAGTCCAAAATTCAGATTGAAAGCCTGGTATCAAAAACATTTCATGAGATTACAAACAAGTGCTTATAAATAGATGAAACAATTTTCACTCAAGAGTCGCACGAAAGTCGAGGGAAAAGAGATTTCCAATAAAACAAAGTCTTATAAAATAAACCCAAGAAAGTAATAAAATCCGCAAAAAACATATCAAAACTATTCGCACGAAAAAAAATCCGCAGACAGGGAGGGAATTACAGTATAAGACATTAAAAACCATCAGAAAACATACCAAACCCTCAAAAACTATTCAACACTTCATAAGCGACTGAAAAGAAAAATCTATTTATCATACGAATCGAAAAAATTGGGCAAAAATGCCTTAAATGGCTATCATATTAGGTGTTTATATATGCAATCGCAAAACACACCACACTGTCAGTCAAAAGTCTATCAATAAATCAAATCTAAACGACAAAAAACTAATCAAACAGTTTTCGACCAATAATTTATCGAAAATCTATCCAAAAATCATATATAAACACACATTTGTGGGCAAAAAATGTATTAATCATTTGTAAAGGGATTCTCATTCCTGTGTTACTATAGATGGTTAGCCGCGATTGCGGGGAACGGGAGGGGCCGGCAGATGAGAGAGAGAGAGAGAGAGACACTGGCGTACAGTAAGTTATATGACATACACAGGAATTTAAACAAATATTAATCATAAGAAAATGCATACGAAATATCATTATTCAACATAAAATATGTGTTCAAATATTTCTGTTAAAATTAAAAGTCATTTTACGAGGAAAAGCCTCATATTATTCATTATAATAAGACATTTAAGGGAAAGGGGTTTACGAAAGTCAAGTGAATGCATAAGAATTTGCACATAAATAATAAATATCCTGGTCTTAAATAATGACAAATTGTATGTCATTTACAGCGCGAATGGACTTTAACTGAGCGACCCTTTAGGGCAAACATTACATACGGTTTCTCGAGTCATATATTTCTCAGACGTTCATTCATTTGACTAAATCATGCATTTCTTAAACATTCATAAAATAGTTTTGCGTGCAGTTTATGGGCAATGGGAGGGCTGGGCAAAGGTATTTCATTTATTGGGCATAACTTGGCACTCAAAGTCTTCAATGGAAAAAAACTATTGTACAGTCAAACAAACAGATGCAGTATTTTTTAAATATGTTTTTTAAAAGTAATAATTAATAATAAACTTCGAGAGAGAGAGAGAGAGAGAGAGAGAGAGAGAGAGAGACATACCATAGAAGCTATTTTTGACAGTAAAAAATTAATTTCTAAAAACTAATATTTCAAAAAACAATTTACCAATAAATTCAATACTAACTAATTACTCGAGAAAAATAACTTATTTCAAAATCTATACAAAAAATATGGTATTTTAAACCAAATGCTAAAAAGTAATTAATCTAAACGTTGTTATAAACTATAATAAAAATCTAGAAAAAATAATTTCAAACTTTTTAAATGAATGAATGAATGAATAAAATGCCGCAAAATAATCATTTGCCGATTAATTGGCGTATAATTTATAACTAGATTTAAAAATATATAATAAATAAATAATAATCTTGAAGTCGTTTTTACCGTTTAAATAAGTCGTCGATTAGATTATTATAATAATAGTTATTATTAATTATAAACACTTCATTAAATGTACATTTAGTTTAACGATTAACACTTCAATCGCCTTTTTATTATTAGTTTTATGTTTATATTTATTATTAATAATATTTTTGTCGGCAAATAAGCGATCAATGAGTGAATGAATTGAGAAATCAATTGACAAATAAATAGTAAATAATAATAAATATAAACACTTTTCAAAAGCAAATGTATATATTTTATAAATAGGTATAGAAATCACTTAAACCATTGATTATATCATATGTATAGTAAATGTAAATAAATGTTTGTATAGTAATATAGTGATGAATAGAGTTAATTGGAAATTAAAGTGTAATATAATTGCCAAATAAATAAATGTTTACAAAATACACTCAATTTTGGCCATACATTGAGTTCACAATAGGGTTGCCATACATTGCACTCAAACACCATAAGACTTACTATTGATTTGCCAAACGCTTGATTGCAGTCTAGTTATTAAATCACATTCAATACACAATCAATTAATACATTGATTACACATTTCTACTGAATTGCATTTCACAGTCAATACAAACACAACACGTATTGGCGTTCAATACCGACGACTGTCTGTGTGTTTATCAATGGATGCATACATTACATGACAATTGCATTGCATATCAATTGCATTCAATTCACTCGCATTGAACTCAAACTCACGATTAGTGCACTCTTTTCAATGCATTCACTCATAGGACTCACTGTTTAGTCATTCACTCATTCATTGAATGCCAACAAAAATGTTATGTTTTTAAGGCACCGACACATCACTGCGACTGCGCTCTACTCCACACAATGCACGCATAAGTTACGTGTCGACGCCCCCACCCCCTCACAAAATGTCTAAAGTGCTAATAATTATTATCCTGGATAGATTTTTAGCATTTTTAACATTTTATAAGTAGGAAAGTTAATCGTGGATTAATATTGTGTGGTTATGTAATTATTTAATTGTATTTATTATGAATAGATTAATTTTTAAATTTTATAAATACTAAATAATAAATATATAACGTTACGAAATATTCATTAATAATTATCCCCTCTTATTAAATAAATTAATTTTGATCATATCGTTTTATATATTAATTTATATATACTTTTAAAAAACTATCGATACTTTATTATTTTATTTTATATATTTTATGTAATATTTGTCTAAATTAAGGAATTATTAATTTAATAAAACATTATTCCCCTCTCTCCCACTATATCGTAACGGTATATGTTTATAAAATTAACATTAAAACACTCGTGTAAATAAAATACCACTTTTATGAATGAACCGCACTATAAATGGTTATGAAATCGAAACTACAGTACAATCCATACAAGAATTTCATAGAGAAATCCAATTCATAAGCCATACATAAAACAGAACAACACTTTATTACTAATACACGACACGTGACTCGTATTGAAAGCAAAACAGCTGTTTTTGTGAAACAAAAATCAAATCACAATTAGTTTTTCATCAGTGAAAGTGCTGTCAAAACTCAGTTCAAACACCACTGAATCGCTGCGGAAGTGTGCGTGAACTGTGCTGACATGTGACCATCACCCTGGTCACTCGTAATATGTTATCAATTCATTACGTTTCTGGACATTACTGTGTAAACACTTATTAACACCACTTTTCATTAACCACTACTGTTTTAACCACCGGTTAACTACTCATTGATATCTCTATTAAAAATTGTAATTTAAATTAATTTAAAATCTAATCCATTCATACATTTATAGGTCAAGTACTCGGATAAGCCAAACAAGGGGTCACCGCCAGCCATAGGTACCTCCCGGAGCCCACCGGACGCCGCGCACAGTCCTCCTGTAATGGAGGATCAGCTGAAGACACCGCCCGACAAACCGATGGACTGTTTCATAGCCATCGAGAAGCTGTCGCTGGACCAGACGTGCCGTAAATACAACATTGATTACCAGTTACTGAAGAAGGACTACGACCTCTACGACGACAAACAGATCCTGAAGAATGATAAGCAGAGTCTCAGGAATAGCCAGAAGAATGCCAGTCGACGGGCAGTGGATGTCAGCGTCACACGCGATGATGACATGTCCGGCCAGACGGTTGACGGACACGCTGACGATGATCTGGAGGACTACTACGAGAGCGAGCACTGGGAGGACCTGAACGACACGTCCGCTAATTATATTCTACGTGAGAGGACCTCTAAACGCAAGAAAAGTAGCAAAAAGTTCGACAGTAAGGGCCGGCCCTCCAAGAAAGCCAAGACTAGCCCTAATGCGACCAAAACTAGTGATCCCCTCACGAGTCAACAGTTGGCGATCAATAGTAGTCAACGCAAACCCAATGCTAAACAAACCAAAAACGGCACCAATAAGTCGACCAAAAACGGTGGCAACGGATTTGAAAATGAATTTTCAGTGTTTTGTTCTGCAAGTCAAACGGCATCCCCACCCCTGTCCAGGAATGGCAGTGCCGGTGCCTCCACCTCAACGCCTGTGCACCACAAGCCCATGCGTTCCAAGCCTTACCACAGCTACAGTAGTCCCAAAACTAGTCTAAATAAAGTGGTTAAGAATAAGCATAAAAGGCTGAAAAAGGATCGCTTTCCCGATGACCACATCATCAACTTCTTGGGCGAGCGATTCCGGGCCAACGATTTGCTGTACAAACACTGCATGTGTGAGAACGACTGCGAGGCCGACGAGTTGTCGCTCGCCTTTTATCTCATGTGTAATGTGCCGGACAATGAACTGCCCCGACATCTGGACATTGCGGTCAACGGCGGCGACACTGAGCTGTTGAGCGAGTCGGACGATCCCGACCTCACGGGACCCGAAAGTGATCCTAATTTAAGCAACTTTTTGCCCAATGAAGAGGATATCTATAAGCAAACATTTGTCGACGACTTTATTAATAGTGGTGTCGATGAGTTCCTCAAGAAATCTTCGCTCATACCGTCAGCAACGGTCACATCAGCGGTCGGAGCGCCACTCATAGACCCATCGATGCCCTCGACGTTTTTCAATCTGAATTTTGGACTTAATATCGGTTTTAATGCAAACGCGTTTGAAATACAAATACTTTTTCTCCCGATTTTAATGTTTGAAATAACTTTTTAATACAATTTGTTAGTTAAGCACTTTATATATATAAGTACTGCTGTAATACCCGGAATAGTTTGGAAATCTTGTTGTGTGTTATGTATTTGTTTTATTATAACGTGTTTTTTCAGATCGTCTTAAATAAGTGCATAAATAATGAGGTTTTTTCGTATCTCTATTGAGATTAATATATTAAATACTCTTATTTTTTATTCATTTATTTATAGGATAGATTAGAAAGTTTTTTGGGATTAAAATTTGTGTTTTCTATTCATATTTTTCTATTATTAAACATTTCTAATTAGATTTTTTATCTTTTGGTGATTTTTCATTTCGGTTTTTGTTTCTATTAAATAGTGATATTTTTTTTCAATGAATATTATTCTTAATGTTTTATATAAGATATTAATATTTTTTGTAGAGTTTTTCTATGTAATACTTTAGCCTTAAAATAGTTTTGTATTTTGTTTTGATTTTTTTGTTTTATTACTCTTATTATTCAATCATATTTTTATGACTTTTATTTTGTTTCGTTTGTATAGTCGACTCAGTATTCAGTTTTATTTTTGCGTAAACCATTTGATTAGAGTTTTTAGTTGCGCGACAATTAATTGAGTATTTGTTTGTAGACTCTTTATCAAATAAAAATTATTTATCGCATCAAAACACACGTAAATGCTCGGTTTATAGTGTAATATTTATACACAGTCTGGACAGACAGAGGCTATTGTCCTCAAACACAAACTTTACATGAATCGATTAGTGATTATTATTAGTAATTATTAATATTAACTGTTTTTTGTTCCTATTTTTCCTATCATTTGATACAATGTTTGCTAAAGTTTTGCCAATGATATGTGTTTTGCTAAAATTGAGTACATTTTTGCAGTAGTTTTTGCGATAATTATCTCTATATTTATGGATATTTTTGCTTAAAAACTGTTATTTTTAGAAGTGTTTAAAAGTTTTTTAGTTTTTGCGCTCAAATACATATTTTTGGCAAAAACTTTGTTATATTGATTTGAATCTCTGGTTTGATTAATTTTCGGTCATTTATTATAATTTCATGTGTGAAAAAGTTTTTTGGTTTTTGTTATATAAGTTTAGCAGTGATTATAATTATTACACCATTTTTGGCTCTTATGATATGTTTTTGAAGTTTTGTTCACTTTTGTGATTGACTTATGTTTTTCAGGACTTGTCATAGGCTTCGTTAGCGTATTATAGCAGTTGTGATGAGTTTTTAGGAGTTTTCAAACTTTTTTCTCACTTTTTTTGATAAACAAATGCCGAGAGAAATGCTATTTTTGCTATACTTTTGGTGTTTGAAAATAGACTTCTTTATGGAGTCTTTGCGAAGAGGCTTAAGATTTTTGTGTCAACTTTTTTGAGTGAATTATTATTATTTGAAATGTATTTTTAGTCGACTTTTACTATATTTGCGATGATTTTATGCCAGACGACTACTACTACTACTCCCATTCATGTAATGGTAGTTGTGTTGAATTTTTTGAGATTGTTATTAAGATTTTGAAGTGTTTTTCGAAATGTTAAGATCAATAAGAAAATGATTACTCATTGCATAAGATTTTAATTTGAATTCATTTTTATGAAATTTTTTTCTGTTAACGTCACATCAGAATATAATATTATACTGTATATACTGTATACATATAAATGTGTTGCCGTCTGAATTAATTGCTAAGAAAATTGTGGGAAAATATTATGCAAATAAGTGGTAATAATAACGGCTATTTGTACACTTTGCCTCCCTTTCCCCTTATATCGGATAACACATGCAATTATGCGTTTCCTTTGACTGGGAATCGTGTTTACGAATCGATGAGATGTTTGTTATGTTTGTTATGTTGTGTGAGATATGTTGGACACAAATGTCGCGAGTCTTGAGCTAATATTTGTGATTATGCAATTATGCGTTTCCTTTGACTGGGAATCGTGTTTACGAATCGATGAGATGTTTGTTATGTTTGTTATGTTGTGTGAGATATGTTGGACACAAATGTCGCGAGTCTTGAGCTAATATTTGTGATCAAATAGGAGCTAAAGTCCCAAAATAAAGGCACTCGTATGCGACACAAGCTGCCGGCCCTGAACCCAAACCTATCGATAAGTTTTTACGTGTATTTTTAGTCATTTCTAGACTTTCCTCCAAAGACTTATTAGTGCGAAAGTACTGCCAATTTTCTCAATAGTTTTTATTATTGTTTTATAAATATTAATATATTTTTATGGCGTTTATTATACATGTATTCAGTTTAGTGTTATTTTGTATTGTAATAATGATTTTGTGGTAAAATTTAATATCGATTTGAAATGAAAATTATAGTTTAGATTTTTGTTTTTATTATTGAGGTTTTGTTTTATTGTAATCAGTGTCTTGTTATTGCAAAACGAGAGTATATGTGCCCTTAGTTTGCATTTAAACGGACAGGGAGGGTGTGTATTATGTATTTTCACTTTTTAATTGATTACTAGATTATGATTTAATATTAGTTTTGCAAAAATATTATTCAATATCTGATGTAATGTTAGATACGAAACGATGTTTCGGTTAAGATTTGTATGATTTTTGCAGATATTTTTTATTTTCAAAATTATATTCACTTTTGATTTCGAGTTAATTGGATATTAAATTTAATTAAGATTTTGTTTTTATTTCTTGGAAAATTGAAAATTAATTTTTAATAAGTTTTATAATAAGATGTACTGTACAGTATTATATTTTTATTGATTTTTTAAAAATTGAATTTCAAAATCAATTTTATTTTAAATATACATTTAAGTTACACTTTCCTTATAATTAATTAGTTATTAGAAATATTAAGGCAATCCTGGTATAAACCTATTGTCTCCCTTTCCCCTTTACCTGTCCTTCATTTATACGTCTGTGTCGAAAGATTTACATATATTTTGCTTTCACTTAATGTCCTTAAGTACCGAACTTTCCTATTGTTTAGACTTAACTATTGTGTCACGTATTCTGTACTTATGTTTGCATCTTATGATTGTTTAATGTTTTGTATGAATTTAATGAATATTATTATTATAAGTTATTTTTACCCCTAATTCCATGCATTAATATCTGAGGTGTCATTCGTTATATAACTTGTTATATGATATTTCATATTTTAATTATAATTTTAATATAATTTATATTTAAGTACTCGTTTTGTAATCACTGTTACCTAGCCTTTCAATACAGTATTATTCACTTTCCTTAATAATAAATGTGTTTTTCTTATGATTTGTATTATTTATTCTTGTCATTCGTCTCATGAATTTATATTTGTTTCAATTATTTAGCATTTCGTGTGTAATAATTAGCAAAAATATAAATGAAAAACTTATTTATTTAAATTTTGTGAAAAATTTACAAAATGTTTAAATTAGGGTAAATACCGCAAAAATGTAAATTAAATATATAATACAACTTCACTAAAGTTAGAATTTATACGAAAAATAAAGTTAGGGAGTCATATTTGTGTGTCATTTAAGAGATACTGTTTCGTATTATGAGTTTAATTTTGTTTCTTAATTAAATTAAATAGTATTTTATGTCGAGATTTAAAGCCTGATTTTATTTTATAAATTGCATATTCATTTAAAAAGTAATTTAAATTAATTTATGACTCGTTTTTAATAATAAATTTATAATTTCTCTGCAAATTATAGGGCAAACAAACTTTAATTTTGTGTGCATTTTGTCATAAAATCTGAATAACTTTGTGGCGAATGAGTTGTGCAGCAAATGACTGAATTGTTTCAAACAAATGACACACTAATCGCGACTCATTTACTGACAGACATAAGCGACTCAAACAATAATAGTATCGAGAAATCCGCACAAAAAGTGATGTCCAATACGTCGGGCAGTGAGTCGTTGTCGTCGCCGGAAGAGGACGGGTATGAAGAGGATGAGTGCGACCACCAGTCGGCCCGCGACGACCCCAAGAGGGATGAGTTGCGCAAACAGTTTTGCGATGTCTTGAACTGGACGTCCCCATCGGCTCTGTCCACGTGCTCCATGAGCTCGTCGTCCGTGTGCTGCTCACCCGCGTCCACGCGTATGTCCTCCCCGTCGCCCACGTGTATGACCCCAACGGGCGGCCTCTGCAGTGGTAACGGACAGCACTCGCCCTCCACGTTGTCGTCCATACGGGAGGCGGTGTCCCACTTGACCCGTTTGGACGA